TATTCTATCTAGTTCAGGGGGACTACAGGCTCAGGTGCTGTTCAGGGAGCCTGCGTGTACCAGCATCTGCATTGGGAAAGGATTCAGGGGCTCTAGAGGCTTGCTCTCTAGGCTTTGATTTTCTGTATCTAGGAGAATGATACAAAGGCTTGGCTCACTGTTGAATGGTACGCCGGTCCACCGGTGTCCTCCAGTCATGTTGCCAACCATCAATGCTAAACCCGAGCTGCACAACCCCAAACCCAATCCCCAGACCGAAGTCGGATGCCGGAACATTAGACTGTGAACCTCAGCAGAGAGTCAAGCCTGTGCAAACTAAGTCCCAATAGCAAAGCTACTGAGCCTAAGCCCATGTCATTGTACCCCTCTCCCTAATTGTAGGCAGCCCGCAACCCTTCGCATCAAGTACTCCCTATGAGAGGGCTTACGTCCATGTTGGGAGACAAATTTCGGGGGCGGGGGTGTTGTACATTCGGGGGAGAAGATTACTCAGGTTCAGCTGGGAACAGGGCAGGCGGTCCTGGGGACTGTTGCAGGCATTATAATTTTTCGAGTGATTTTTTCTTGGCTACTAAAGGAATACTTTACCGCATTCGCAACTAAGCACGAGAGTCTGGTGTTGATCACGAACTCCATCGCACGAACCGCATGATCTGCAGTGTCTGTTTGCAGCTACGGGTGTTGATACCGGGGCCGAATCATTGACCTCATTTCCCAAATCCTCTCCGGTTGCTCAGATTGATAAGTTGTTGCTATTCTCAACTTAGCCAGTAGAGGACAGTAGCATTTCCATGGTTACTGTTATCATCAACACCCTAAACCCTAAAGGCAATGATTTTTAAAGAACTGCTCAGAGGCGTCGTTTGCTGGATGCGCTGGGCCTGGCACATCTCTGGGTCAGGGGGACTGAGGAGCGAAGGGGGTTGGAACATTACTACAGCTCTTCTGACTACTACTCGTCATAAGTATAAATAAGAACAACAATAAACAGAGACGACTACAGTGAGAATCATGCAATCTACTAATTATTAGTAAGTTTCAGCTCTCATTAGCTTGGCTGGGAACTAGAGTGCATAGTCTTCGCAAGCTGCCAAGGCAACACTGAGCCTAGAAAAACCTTAAGCGTAGTAGCAGGCGCAGACATGTGAGATCCAAAGCTAGACATGCAAAAAAAGTACGATGAGTAATGCTGCACATCAAGCAATAACCAAGCCTATGCAAGTTCAGAATTCAAGCTGGCTGGTTGAAAAACTGTCGTTGCAGGAGAGGGTGCGTCAAAGAGCGGAGGCCTGGAAGTTATCAGCATGNNTCAGCCGGCTGCTGTTTCTTTTGCTGCCATAACTTTCACATAAGCCACCAAGACGAAACCGGCACCGAGAGTCCAGCACCCGGATGCCTTCAATCGAATGCAGTACAGTGCAGGTGCGATACCAGACCAAGGGCGGGGGCCGACGCAACCCAGAAGAGGCATCGGTACTATCGGCATGTGAGTAGTATTTTATTTCGG